AAATGCATTATATGTTTGCTTTTATTTTTAAATTTTCATTTGAATATGCTTTACATGTTATGTTTATGTATTTTAATTTTAGATAATAGGTTTTTTAAAACTTTTTTTTTTAATTTAAGTTGATATTTTTTATTAACATTATGTTTAGTATTTTTTGCATTTTTTTAATTTTTTGGCATTTTTTTGAATTTTCTGACTTGTTTATTTTTTAGCTATTTTTTGTAATTTTGTGCCTTGCTTAAAAAGGTGTGCACCTCGCCTTGCGCCTTAGGCGAAAATTGGCCCTTGTGCTTTTTTTGCGCTTTGCGCTTTTAAAACACTGTAGCAGAGGGATTCTTTTCTCAGACCATGAAAATTTAAAGCTAGAGTCCTAACCAGATGTTGATTGGGCAGGTTGCTTAGATGACAGGAGATCTACATCAGGGATATGCACCTTTGTGGGAGGAAACTTGGTCTCATGGAAAAGTAAAAAACAGCCAGTTGTGGCTAGATCAAGTGCAAAGGCTGAATATAGATCTATGGCTCATGGTGTTTCAAAACGACTTTGGGTGAAATCTCTACTTAGTGAGATTGGAATAAAAGCTAAGGAGCCCATGATGTTATATTGTGACAACCAAGYTGCAATCAATATTGCCCACAATCCAATTCAGCATGACAAGACTAAACACATTGAGGTTGATAAGCACTCCATAAGAGAAAGGGTGACAACTAGAGAAGTTTGCTTGCCTTATGTCTCCTCTAAACTACAATTGGTTGATGTCTTCAACAAAGGAGTTGCAAAGAACAAGCTCGAATACAACCTACGCAAGTTGGGAATGTGTGACATTTACCCCCAACTTGAGGGGGAGTGTTGAGGTTTTAGACAAATTGTGTAGTTTATAGTGCTGGTCTTTTATTATTTACCATTTAGGTTGGAAGTGGGGACCACAGCACTCTTGTTGGGTCCTTTTTGAGCAGTTATTTTAATTGTTTTATGATGTTTTTATGTGTTAGCCGCCTATAAGGGTATATTGGTCTTTGTACTCTTTATTATTTTAGACGATAAATAATAGTGAAGAGGGTGGCTAGCATTATTGCTCTCTTTTCTCTCTCAAATCTCTTCTCTTCCTTTTCTCCTTTCTTCTCTTCTTCTACAAGAAATATTCTTTTCTTTTATAGATTTTTTATTTCAGCACTTTTCTACTAACAAAAAAAAAGCTGAAAATGCAAGAAATTAAGAACAAAAGAAAGGGATGGAGCCCCTGTTCTAGACCCAGAAAATCTGGTGAAAAAAATACTACAATCAAAGAAGAATATGAAGAATAAAAGATGGGGTGGAGCCCCTGTTCCGCCCCTGTTTCAGACACCAAAAATGAGGGGAAAAAAAGCTGAAAACATGCAGGAAATTTAAGAACAAAAGAAGGGGTGGAGCCCCTGTTTTAGTCCAATAAAATGATTCAGAAGACTTGGAGAAAAAGATACAAAAAGGAAGAGCAGAAAAATGGGGTGAAACCACTGTTTTAAACCAGGAAACATAGAACAAAACTAAGAAGAAGAAGAAGAAGAAAACTGATGAACTCACCTTGACTTTAGAGGACTGTGTGGGGACGAYGGAGGACTGTTGTTCTCTCCTCTTCCTCGGTTCRACTCTTTTCTCAAAGTGAAACCCTCGAAGATTAATTTTTGTTTCTACTTTCCTCACAACAAAAGCATGATAGCATGCAACAGGTTCTATTATAAAAACTAAAACAACCAATAAAATATTATATATTTTATATTTATTTTTATTTAATAAATATTTATATATTATATATTTGCTTCAGCCCCCTAATCATGTGCCTAACATAGTTTTTCCTGGCGTTTGGGCGAGGCGTAGGGGTGGATTCGAGCCGAGCCGAATAGTACGAGGCTCGAGCTCGGCTCACCRGGGTAGTACAAGGCTCGAGCTTGAGCTTGAGCTCGTTTCGAGCTAGAACCTTGAGCTCGAGCTCAGCTCGAATCAAAAACTCATAAGCTCGAGCTCGATTTGAGAAAAAATGTTTTATAAAAATAAAAAATTATATATAAAAAAAATATTTTTTATTTGATATTTAAAAGATTAAGAATTATAATATTTTTATTATATATATATATATATTATTTTCTATAATTTTATTATTATTATATATATCTATATATATATAGATATATATTCGAGCTCGGCTCGTTTATTAGTCATGCCTGTAAATTGGGCTCGAGCTCGGCTCGTTTATTACTGAACTGAGCTCGAGTAGCTCGTGAAGAGCTTGGCTTGTGGCCACCCCTAGCGAGGCGTTCTTTGAAAAACGCCTAGTCGCCTTGACAACTATGATATCAAAATCTTATTTTGCTTTATCTCTTCTTTCTGCCCCTAATAGCCTTCTAGATCCCTCTACCTTATCCACTTCAACAATAATATTCAAATATCCTTCGTTCTCTCTTCCACTTTCATTCTTTGATCTTCTCTTTTAGAGCCTTTAATTTTTTACTAAAATATGTCTTGCTGAGCCATTAAAATGTAACTCATTCCACCACTGTTGTACTCTCCCCCCAAAACCTCCTTTTTTGAAAGGTGCAGAACCTTCTTACAGCCATGTGTTCAAAACAAAAGGGGGATGATTTGAACCCAATGCTACCACAGTACAGCAATACTAGTGTGTGATCTAACAAAGGTTATGGCAGGGCTTCCATGATCATTGATTCTAAATTTACAACAAATGCTAGATGTAGTTGAGATTGATCCGTTAGGTATAAAGTTAGGTTTTAGCGTTTTATTTTCCTGATAGAAATAATAATAAAACAGTAATTGTTTCTTGTATGCATTATTGACATCTGTTCATATTTATTAGTCTTATGAATTGCAGATGCATAAAGCCTCTAGTAACATCAGCAACAAGTCTAAACATTCACTGTTCAGGTCCTGAAATTAAGGTTCCATATTGCATTAGAAATGAGTTGCTAATTAGGTATAACCAATCATAATCATTAATATGGTACAGTCAATATGATAACAGGAAAAATAAAATAAACAGAAAACAATGTTCCATAAAGATCACAAAAATAAAGCCATAACACCTGAAAACGCAAGTAAACAAAAAACAAAATGACACCTGAGCAACAGTGAGCTCCTGACAAGCCTCCTTCCATGTAGTGATGAACATCTCCATAGAATCATCTCCTAGTCGAAGATCTCCAACTTTATCCTGGTTAGTATCTTCCTTTCTACCATAGTTTTCTCGGAGAAGAAGATTGGATTCAGCCTCGTTCAACTCAACTTTCCCTCTTTTAGGTTGTTTCTGCGGCAAAGAGCCATTACCACTCTGGTTGCCAAATTTCCTTTTCTTTCTAGTTAATTTTCTACTCTCATCTGTAAGGGATGCATGGCCATCCACATTACTTTTCAATCCAAGTCGTGTCATCTCTTCGGTGGCTGATGGGTAAGGGCAGCTACTCACACATTTATCATAGCTTTTTTTATTTTGAGATAAAGCCTTACCCTGAATATTCAGATCATTCTCATCAGTGTCATCATCCTCACTACTAGAATCATCACCACTTTCATCATCAGAACTGGATGAAATAAATTTTATGTGCTTGGCACCAAAATCCTCATATGCAGAGGAGAATGACTTGATGCGTTGAGATATAGAATTGAATCGTCTGTCAAGCACCTTCTTCTGTGAAAGAATACTAGATTTTTGTAAAAACTGCCCTTCCCCTTTACTACTTTGCTCATGCAGCATTGGTTTCATAGCCTGGATGGACTTCTTTAATGCATTATCTTCCGCTTTCCTAGCTTCACGGATAAAACTAATATGCATCCTATGGTCACCAATATAGTAATAGTTAGAATTAAAAAAAAAAGAACAAAAGAAAAAAAAAATCAAGGCCAATTCATATAAGCTAGCAAACATGTCTTCATGATAGATATTGGAATTTGGAAGTATACAAGTCTTGGAAGTGCAATATCACCAAATAAATTTAAAAAAAGAAAAAACTACAATTTCTTAAAATTCTGGTTTCCTTTGTGAAAGATTCCCATGAAAGGAAACTTGACTAAATTAAAGTGCCCAAGAAGGCTAAAATAAATATTTAAAGACTAATAGAAAAAGAGAAAGTGAAAGAAAGATGAAAAGAAAATTAAAAAAAAAAAAAAAAAACTGAGAATTCAGCCCATAAGAAATATCAGTCTACATAGTGGGTTGTTCTTACTTTTAGGTTTTATATGTTATGTTTTGGATTTGATGTTTTCCAGATACTCTTGCTTCCGCTTTCATTTTGAATTTGTCTTATATGTTATGCTTATGTATTTTGCTTTGAGCCAATAAGGTTTTCAAAACATTGGGAGAAACACCTCCATTCTCTCACTATCAAAACAAATCAAATCAAAGCTCTTAGCTTTATAAATGAAAGATAATACTCTGGATGTCTCAAGCCACATGGCTTCATATAGAGAAAAATAGGGTAAACTAGCTGTTAGTGTTAGAAGCCTAGCACCAAAAACAAACTAACTATTAGAAACCCACTAACCAAAATAATTGTTAAAAGCCTACTACTGAGTTCAAATGTGGTTTCATTTGTCTTCCCCGTTAAAAATGATTTGGTGCTTCCCAAAGAATAACTTTAAGCTGCATCAGCCGTTCCATTCAAGAAGCACTTACATCTCCTGGTTGGAAACAAGGTACAGAAGAGGGAGCACCATCAGGGGAGAGGGATAGGAAAGCACCAAATTTCTTCTATAGTGGGGGGAGAGGAACCAGAAACAAGGGAATTAAACATAGACTTACAAGAAAACTGTCCATCAGGGGAGAGGGAGCACCATCGAGCACCCCTCCCATCATTAACAAGGGCAACCAATTCCAAAACACTCAAGAAATTACACACCAAGGGGATTTCTAACTCTCTTAGGTTTCTAACAAACCCCAAGTTCCAAATCATCCCAGAAGAAGGGTGATGATCAATGAAATCATCCACAGGTCTACCTTTAAGACTAGAAAGAACAAAAAGGGAAGGAAAGACAACTTTCAATAGGGATTCACCCACCCACACATCTTCCCAGAACCTTATTTTACTACCAGAAGCCAAATCATCCCTTACACAAGTGAGGAATGCAGGAAGAATACCATGAATTGCTTTCCAAGGTGTAGCCAATGTAGCTCTTTAAAGAAAATCTGCACCCCAGCCATTTCTTGACAGCCCATGAATACTAGCCACCACTTTATGCCATAATCTGTCACTTTCCACCAAGAATCGCCGAAGCCATTTGCATAAAAGTGCCTGGTTTCTCATGCTCATGTTACCAATCCCCATCCCCCCCCCCTCTTCCTTTTTCTTAACCACTTTTTCCCACCTCACCAGATGATCTTTCTTACCTTCTCCTGGTTCCCAAAGGAAATCCCTCATAAGCTTCTCAATTCTTTTCACTATTGCTTGAGGCATCCTAAAAACTGACATAAAATAAACTGGGAGATTAGCTAAAGTGGATTTGATCGATGTAAGTCTCCTACACAACAAAATATAGCTCCTCTTCATCCGGCCAATCTCTTCTCAATCTACCACTAGACTCCAAAAACTAGATCATCTAGGGTTATCTCCTAGAGGTAAACCTAAATACCTTAAAGACCAATCCCCACTCTCACACCCCAGGTTTCTGCCAAAGGTCGTATCTCCTCTCTTTCTAAATTAATCCCCGCCAGTATGCTTTTGCTCCAATTTACCCTCAAGTTAGACATTCTCTCAAACAGATTGACCACCAGTTTCAAATTTTCCACACCTTCTCTATTTTCCCCTTCACCAAAAACAAAAAATCAAAATGTCATCTGCAAATTGAAGGTAAGTAACTAAAACCTTGTCCTTTCCCACCAGCCACCCTTTGAACAGCTGCAAACAATTTGCTCTGGAAATCAGCTTACTAAAGACCTCAGCCACCAATGTAAAAATGAAGGATGAAAGTGGATCACCTTGTCTTAAACCTTTAATCCCCTCAAAAMAATAAACCACCAACCCATTAATAATTATTGAGTAGTGACTTGTTTCCAAACATCCTTTAATCCACTTACACCATAAGTCTCCAAAACCACAGCTTCTCAAGAATCAAGTATTGATAAGGAGCTCCCAATCCATTAAATTATAGGCTTTCTCCAAATCCAATTTGATTGCAACCCCCATTTTCCTTGATTTCTTTTGGGCCTCAACACATTCATTCACAATTAAAATTTGATCCACAATCTGCCTCCCCTGAACAAATGCCCCTTGAGACTGGGAGATAAATGATGGGAGCACCTTCTTGATTCTTTAGGAGAGGACCTTAGCAATCAACTTATAAATGCAAGTAACCAAACTAGATGGCCTGAAATCTCTTGGGTGACAGGTGTCRTTCTTTTTTGGCACCAAAGCTAAAAAAGTAGAATTCATTTCTGGGTTGATTTTTCCCCTTCTATGAAACTCCTAAAACATATTAATCAAATCCAATTTTATTATATCCCAACAATCCTGATAGAAGGTCGTTGTAAACCCATCAGGCCCCGAAGCCTTTGGTCCACAGAAAACACAACTTCCTTGGTTTCTTGCTCCTCAAATCTTCTCTCTAAAATTTCCACCTGATGAGCTCCCAAAACATTCCAATGGAGACCATCCACTGACCATCTTTCATTAAGTGGCCTTCTATATATGGATCTCAAATGTTCAGCAAAGGCACTAGCTATCTCTCTTTGATCTGTGATTTCTCTACCCCCACAACTAAAGATGAGATTAGATTCTTTCTTCTTCTACGTTAGCAATAGCATGAAAGAATCTAATATTACCATCCCCCTCCTTGATCCACTTCTCTCTTGTTATATGTTTCCAACTGATTTCCTCTTTCAAGAGAGTTTCATCTAGCTTCTTTTCCAAAGATCATCTGACTTCTCTATCCCCTTCTATTAATGACCCCTCCTCTTCTTTTCTACCAATATTATCAATTTGCTCAATCAGAGTAGCTTTCTTTTCCTCTAGTCCTCCAAACTTTACTTTGTTCCAGTGATTTAAAAGGCACGCCTAGGCGGGTAGGCGCCTCACCCAGGTCCTAGGCACAGCCCTTTCAAAAGGCATGTGCCTAGTGCACCTTGCACCTCAGCCCAGGTGTGCGCACCTTTTGAAAATTTGACTCTTTTTTCCTCTTTTTGAATCTAGCAGCTAGACCAGAGCGAAGTAGAACCCCCTATTTGGTAATGTTGTCCATTCATTCATCCTAATAAAATACCTTCTTAAAAAGCAATTAAAACTATAAAATCATTATTTTTTATGTGAAAATTAAGAATTTAAGACCCTAACATGGACTTGTTTGGGCTTGCCTCGAGGGGCATGGCACAAAGGCAGCTCGTAGAATTAGGAATGTAATATGTCACATTAGCTAATTGAAGTAATGTAATTGAGAAAAAAAGAGGTTGTGGGTTTTATATGCTTGAAAATGTTTTATATGTTTGATTTYATTTTTAAATTYTCATTKGRATATGCTTTACATGTTATGTTTATGTATTTTAATTTTAGATAATAGGTTTTTTAAAACATTTATTTTAAATTTTAAGTTTATATTTTTATTAATATTATGTTTTATATGTTTTTTTTTGCATTTTTCGAATTTTTTGAATTTTTTTATTTTTTAGCTTTTTTTTTATTTTTGTGCCTTGCTTAAAAAGGTGTGTGCCTCGCCTTGCACCTTGTGCCTCAGGCGCCTGCACGCGCTTTTAAAGCACTGCTTTGTTCAGGTATTGAACTTGTGTTTCCCATCACTCTCTTACCCTCTCCATGAACTCCAAATGAGAAAGCCACAATGACATATTTTCAAATCTGAACAAGGTAGTACCTCCTAAAGCATTCCGTTGGAAGAGACAAATCAGCCAATGATCCGAGGCAATTCTAGGCCGAACACTACCCAAAAAGCCACTCCAATATTCTTCCCAATCCAAGGAGACAAGAAATCTGTCTAATTTGGAACAAGTAGGGTTTTCCTGGAGCTTTTACCATGTAAATCTGAATTGTCCCAAAGGTATTTTCGTCAGCTCAAAAAACTTCTATGAAATCATTAAATCTTTTCATGCCGGTATTCACCCTCCATCTAACATTGTTTGACTCATTGGCAATTTTAACTATATTGAAATCTCCTCCTAAACACCAAGGTCCCTCCCAAAGCCCCCTAACATCTACAAGTTCTTCCCACATCAAGTTCCTTTCCTTATAGGGGCTTGGTCCATAGACATTTGTGAGGACCCACACAAAACCATCCTAGGCAATTTTCAATTTAACAGACTGAAATTTCCAATAACCTCTTCCAAGCATTGTATTGTTTCCTCCCTCCACACCAAGGTTCAAARTGATACAGGCCAATACGCCCCAACCGGCATATCAGCATGTATCTTGGCTCGCTTTTTTTCAGTTTTTTTTTTCAAGCGGGTTCAAAGGGGTCAGTTTAAGCCCGTCTAGCCCCTGAACCAGGTCAGACCCCAAAACCCTGTAGGAGCATATCGGGAGGCCACCGATACAATACATTTTGGCCAATACGGTCCGATATGTATCAAAATTTTGAACCTTGCTCAACATAGTTAATATAGCGCCTGAGGCACCCCCAGGATGGGGCAAAGCTCCAGCTAATGTTCCTCTCTCCCCAAAAGCTTCTTATCCATCTCCTGTTAACCTCCTGAAATTTGGATTCTTGGATCAGCAATATATCAAATTTTTCCTTTCTAAGAATCTTCTTAATTGCCCTTCTTCTTGTAGCACCACCATGAGATTGTTATGAGAAAGACCTGTATAGGAGCCTCTGGTCTATGAACCCAATTACAAAGTTGATAATGAACAAGGATAGTTGTTTGATGACCCTATGAGGTAGAAAACACTAGTTGGGAAGTTGAATTACCTCCCCTTTACTAGACCTGATATCATATTTGTTAGGAGCTGGTTGTCTATACACAAGTTTTAAAGAGGATACAACTGATTGTACTTTTTTTAGGGTGGCCTTTTTTTGAGGTTCTTCTGTTGCAGTTTTTGCACAGTTTCTCATTGTACAAAGGACCGGTTGATTAATACAATTATACTTTACCTTTTCTCAAAAAAAATATATATATTTGTTGTACGTGTTTAGTCAACTCATGCAAATTGCAAGGACCCAAGTCCCTCACTAAAACAATTATAAGGGTTTTTTTATACTAGAAGAATGCACCAAGACTTGGACCACTGTACACTACTGGTAAGTGGTAAGAACTTGAAACTCAAAGAGACGAACAAATAAAAACTAGGTTAGATCATCATCAGACAGAAGGTCTATAACAGGCCATAATACATTCTAAGGAGACAATTTAGTGACTTGGAAGAGAAAGAAGCAGAGTGTGGTGGTCAAAAGTAGTCTTGAAACAAAATATAGAGCTCTGGCTCATACCACATGTGAGCTGATTTGGTTGAAGCACTTGCTTTGTGAGATTGGTATTTCTATTATAGAGCCTAAAGAGTTATTCTGTGATAATCGAGCAACTATACATTTTGCATCAATTATCAAAAATAAACTATACATTTTGCATAGAACCCAGTGTTCCATGAAAGAACCAAACATATTTAAGTAGATTGTCACTTTCACTTTGTGAGAGAAGAGGTTCTTCTTGGAGAGATTCATGTACCATATTGAWGTTTCAAGACCGACTTACTGGTTGAGTAAGTATAATGGGTTACACTTGCAACAAGCTGAAGCAGTATGACACATGTTCCAACTTAAGGGGGATTGCTAGAATATATTACTCTATTAATATAGTAGGTGTCCAGGAATTTTACTCTTGGTATTTAAAGAATGACACACTTGTCTGTCCTATTTTATAGCTTGTTAAGAATATCCTATTCTATTCTCCCCAAACCTGTGACCTCTCCTCTTGAACCATATTTATACCTATAATTTCTAGTTATCTCAAAACACTAATCCCTCCCCAGTTCACACCTTCAATCAATAATTTCTTGAGAAAGCCAATCCATCCTTTCTTGATTTCCTCATCCTGTATCATCGATTTTCCACTTTAATGCACAATAAGGCTAAGTTACAATATCAAAAGTATTTATTGACAACTGAAAAGGTGAAAGTATAATTCTTCCTCAGATGACTCAACCATGTCCCCCACTGGCCACCGCCTTCTAGTTCCCCCCAAAGTTCCCCATGCATATCCCTGTGAATTTGGGCTTCTACTACCTCCGCAGCATTGTAATCCCCACAACCTTTCTTTTATACTACAACAAGATGCGTAATGGGTTCATTCTCAAATAGCTGTAATCTCCACTGCATTGTAATCCCCATGCATCACTAACCAATCCATTCTCAAATAGCTGTAATCCCAAAATTTCGGGCCCAATCAACAATCTGTTATAGAAATCTCCAAATTCCAGGCCCAAAATGAATTTAAATTCTGATCCCTGCAGACTTCACAACCAAAGAAGGAGGAAGGGCCTCTCGAAACCATGTGAGCAATGTTCTGGTAATATATACAGCTGTTATGGGTATTGGAAACTCCATTAAAGTTGAATTATTATCCCTCTTAAAAGGGATAAGATTCCTTGGTTATAAAAGGCTGGATAAGAAGGAAGCATCAGGTTCTGGATCACATATTCATATCTACATTATACAAGGGAAGCAGCATATCTCGCTTCCGCCATGAATTCCTTGTGCATCCATCTTAAAAGATCTACTAACTCTTTAGAGGACTTACTAGGTGAGGAGGTAGGTTTAACTGATGGCCTGTCCTGGAGGCAGGAGAACTACCATGGGGGTAGGCAAATGAAAGCAAGCAACGCATTGTAGGATATACTGAATGTTTGAGTTGTTTTACCTGCATCATCTAACTGTTTTCTTTTTTTTTTTGTATTTCTTTTCTCATTCAATATAAAATGTTATTCATCTATTATCAATCCAACAAAAGAGATATACTTAGGTTTATTAACATCAGTCCCCATCAATCATGACATAGTCATAGAATTCCCTGGTATGCTCATCAAAATGATAATTATATGGCTAAAGTGGACTAAACTGTAAACTAATTGCTGAAAATTGGCATGAACAAACCCTTTTTTTGCCTTTTTAGCGATAGGTTGTAGGATTAAGTATATGAATTAGCATCTGAAAGAAGAGACAAAGTCCAATGAAATACAAATCTATACATGGTAAGTAAAAGGAAACCAGTAAAAATAAGCCATTGCCTAACTCCAGTACGCATCATGAACAAATTTTAATGTACAACCAGTTATTATGTAATAGTTTATTTCCTTTGCACTGCATTCACTTCACAATGGTAAACAAGTTTAGAAAATAAAACCCTAGATAATATTAACAATTCAATGATATTTGTTAAATAGCACCACTAACACATCTAATATTTTAAGCTGTAATAGAAGTAGCTCAGAAATACATACCCCAGGCTCTGAATACGAACGCCAAGCTTCTCCCTTGTGGCAACCGACATTTTCTTTGCAAGGTAATCAAGGAACTCCTCTGCCCGGATTTCTTTATTTTGGTGAATGTCCATGAACTCAGCAATGCAAGAGATTATTTCCTCGCTACGTATTTGAACAATCTCCATTGCATCTGGAGGAACCGAAAAGTAATGCAAAACAAGTGGATGACGCAATAAGGGACCCAGTTCAAGCTCTTCAAACCTGTCGATGCTCTCGTTCTTGCAAATTGCGACATCCAAATCATACAAGGAAGTAATTCTCCGCACACCAACGAAGCAATGAATGAAGGCATCAATCTAAAACGAAAGAACAGGCAATGCAACGAACTCAGCAATAGTAGTGCAGGACAACTCAATGAAGAACAGAATAACAAAAGTGGAAAGCTGCTACCTTTCCTTCGACGACAATAAGACGATGTAGAGACGGGATTTCCTGCATTTTAAACCCCAGAGAGCTCCATGAATCGACTTGGAGAGACAAAAGCGCAGCCTGGGATACTTTCCATGACGAAACGTTTTCCCCGGCTGCAAGAATGTCGCGGTGAGCTTTTGCTACAGCGCGGTCTATCTTCTGGAGGAGTTCATTTGGTTTTTGAGATAAGTTTTGAGGTTGGAACACGGTACTGGGGAATTGCTGGGGAGGGAAAGTGGGGTTTTGTAGGTAGGGACTGGAGGAGGCTGAGAACCCAGGGTTTTGGAGGAAGATGTTAGGGTTTTGGAGATAGGGATTGGGGTTCTGGAAGTAGATGTTTGGGTTCGGAGGGCAGAAGCGAGGAGGTGGTGGTGCAGATGGCTGCGCTGCCCCGCGACCACCGCCAGAGGGGCGAAAGCGGTGACGATGACCGTGCATGGGGAAGYGAAGGCAGAGCCGCGGGAAAGGGACGAAGCGACCATACAGAAAAGGGTTTTGTAGTTTTGAATGTCGGCTCGTGTAGTTGTGAACTTGTGTGTGTACCGTTAAAACAGGTTTTCTTGATAACTTCTCTGGACAACCGTTATGATTCCTCGTTGGAAGGAAGGTTGAAATCTGGCCATCCGATTTGACTCAAATTTCACTCCGATTTTTTTGCACAGAGGTATCGGTGGTCGACTCTTAATTTTCAAATATGTCACTTTATTCCACATTGGGAAAATATATATTTCCCATATTATAGTGGAATTCACACATGAAATATATGCTCATATATTTCAACTAAACTCTATTCTAAAAGGACAAGAAAATGTATATCAATTATATTTATAAAGTATATCAAAATTGCCATGCCTAGTCAATCAAAGAACATAGTTCAAGCCATTAAAAAAAAAGTTTACCAAAATTGTCATGTCAAACTATAAGGTAAAAGGTTAGTAAGCTTATAAGCCCATATCAATTAATTGCTAACATCAAAAAGGGCCTCCTAGTTTCATGACCAACCAATCTGTCCTCAATTCTAGCATAATCGCATAAAATGTCAAGACATGAAATCGTCAGTCCTCCAATAAAAAATCAAATGCCTTCAATAAGAATGATATAGACATTCCCTCCAAACTCATAACATCTTGGAAGGGAGCATCTATGTCAAACAATCCATATCCATGTTCAACAGCCTCTCCAATTTCATCATTAACATCATATGAGGGTTTGGGAACCTGATTATCGATACCATGAGTCACAGAGGTTGAAGTTGCTTCATGTATGTTCAATTCCTTTGCAGTAAAAGCTCAACTCCCGGTAACTTGATCATTTCTACAAATAAGTGCCAAATCATTGCAGTTATCAATTTTTTTCCTATGATATTGTCTCACCTCTAAGTGAGACTATGAAAAACGAAATCAATTCATCACATTAGAACATTAGACAATGATAACAAAAGAAGCATAATCCAAGCACTATATAAAATCACATACCTCAACATAGGAATTACAAAATAAAGGTTCAACATATATTGTATGTGTTTGACCATTCCAACTAAAGCCACTTTGATTAAGAAAGGCTTTTAATGTGGCAAATTTTTTTTTATATTCTTCAAACAATTTTTAATATGATCAACACTACAATCGCCCCCAAATTTAGAACCACTCGCCCTATTTGCAGCTTTATAAGCAGGGCCCTTGAAACTCTTATCAAATTTGTTCCCAAGATGTACTTGTTAGACAAGTGACTCAATTAGACAATTGTCCATTTCTAAGGTCAAAGTCATATTAGGCTTCTGACTTCTTGATTCCTGTCCTTCCATATCTAAAACATAACAAACACATAATAAGCATGTAATAAACCTAATATAATTGAAATTGTATCAAAAAAATTCAACACAAAACAATGATTTTTCAAACAAATGCAAACAAAAATAATGTGACAATAGTCATTGTTTACATAATATCATTTTTAAATCACAAAAATCAAATTAACGCCTTATTCGTGAACGTTRTAGTCAGTAATCTTCTCACATTTTTTGTTGTTATTTATTCTCTTAAACAAGTTTTTTGTCTCATTGCCTCATTCCTACTTAAATGATGTGAAGATCTTCTTAGTTGTCTCTCATTATCCTCTTCCTCGAGTTCAACACTATCTTCATTACCTTATTATAATCCTCTATTTCTTGTTTCTAGATCGTATTACCTCATAATGAAGTCATATAAATTCACACCCATCACGTGGTTGTGTAAAATACAACAAGCATGTGCAATCTTAACTTGTGTTTCAAATAGATAATGTTGCACTGACACAAGGATAGGAAATTGCTTATTTAACACTCCAAATATTTGTTCTATCACATTTCTTAATGAAGAATGATAAAGACTAAATAGATCCTTGGCAATTTTAKGTTGGCGTAAACCTCAATCTTTTAAATGATATCGGGTGTTCCTATATGGCGTAATGAAACTAGCTTTCAATGTGAACCCCGTATTCACAAAGTAGAATTTACCTATTGATAAAAAAAAAAAAAAAACTCTTTTGACAACATTGCCTATAACAAAAATGGTAAAAAACTAGTTGATTTGGGTTACTACCTTCAGGCACCTCAAGTTTGTGTTCTCCAGTAAAAGCATATCTCAACATACAAGAATCTTATGCTGCACCTTCCCGTCCTAGCAAGACATAAGTAAATTTTAAACCAAAAGAACATGTTGCTAATATTAATACAAAGTTATCTAATAATATTATTAAAACTATCATTTAATATTGGTATGTTTAAATTTCTTATTTTTAATTAATTATTTCTATTTTTTCATTATTATTCAGTATTTTTTTGAATAAAACACTACTAATAAAATGGGTTATGCATTTTGAATTTTCATTAATTTTTATCATTCTTAATGAGTTCATTATGCACAATAATGGTCTCAACTCATAAATATCAATTTACTATTAGGAAATATAAATTAATTTATTAAATTATTAAATTATTACTAAATTAATATAATATTAGTTTATAAAAGTATACTAAAAATTTTAGAATGGGTTTATATTAGTTCATAAATATCAACGTTTGTAAAAAGTTTTAGAATGGGTTCATAAATTCTCTTTCTTTCCCACCAAAATTGTCTTTTATCTTCTATGTTGTCTGATTCATTGTATAGTAGAAACACCCCATTCTATATTTTTCATCATCATACCTCCACAATTGAGTGGGAAGCTAAAAGCAAAACGAAAGAATAGTAATTGTGATTCTTAAAGGTTTTGGTTTGTTTGCCTATTTACTTTTA